GAACAAGCAATCTGTATGTTTTACTGCCAGCCCTATAATGAGTCAAACGCCTCTAAACTATCCAAGTTAATTGACAACATGGACAATATTGAAATCTGCTATTCAGATGACCCCACCGAGCCAATGCTCATTTGCCAATTAAGAATAAACCAAAATCCATTCAAATTTAAGATATATGTCAGCGAAGATGCGATTTCGTCTCAGGCTGAACCTGAAGAAATACATGAAAACAAAATTCTCCTCAGTAAATCTCGCAAAAAGGAAACATCTGATATATATATATGTTAATATTTATATTCTTGTTTCTTTTACACAGCCACTGAGCAGCATATCATACAGTTTTTAAATACTTGCTTCCTCCCTTATGACCCGAATAACGATGAAGTTTATGAACAACGAAGTCTTTCAAACGGCGATATATTTTCAGTATTATGGCAATATACTGAAATATTCAATGATAAGAGTGTCACATCGTTTGGAAACTGGTGTTCATCCAAAAAAATCGATTTTTTGCTTTGCAAACCTAAAAGAAAACGCATTACCAATAACTCCATGATCTCTGTCAGATCATTACATGTGTTAAAAAAAGACTACTTTGGTAAGATAAGGCAAATGTTTGACAAGAGAATCTAAGGGATTAATTTTCGAAAATGAAAACTATATAGCCAAAACCATTGAAAGGATAGTGTTCTTGTTGCATGATCACCAAACGGAGATTCGAAACTTGAAGCAGCAAGGATTTACTGTAATAGGATATGCTAGAAAGTCGAAGAGTGGTGAAGATATTGAAACCAGAACCAGATTACTGAATCTCATGTGTAAACGTCTAAAGGAGAGATCACTAGTTGATCATGTTTTCGTATCATATGCCTCTCAAGCTAACGACCAGTTGGCAAAAAGGGACTTAAAACAAACGAGTGAAACATATAAAGGTTTACATGCAGAAGGAAGCACTCAGGGTAAGCAAGTCAGTGACACATTGTATATCCAAATTAATAGACTATTTATTTCGGCTATATAGACATGATGAGATTTATCGCAAACACTGAGAAAGTATGTTTAGTCGTATTGGATTACGCTGGTTTGTCAACAAACAGCAATGACTTGTATGAATTTCTAAAGTAAGCGAATAGTTACAAAACTATATGAAAGCAGAATAACTCATTAATTATTTATTTTTGCAACAGACAGTATCCAAATCTGGAAATAATAATAGTCAATAACATAGCAGCTAAAAACAGAGTATGGACATACAAAAGAATTCAGTTGTTAAATGAACCAGGCACTTTAAAGAAGTTTGAATGTAGGAGCAAGCCGGTTCAACGATCAAAATAAAAAGTTTATTATTTCCAAAATTTATATGTTGTAATAAAAAGTATTTATAAACATAGACTGTTTTTTTATCTCTTAGCTTGATTGCTACTCTTATCCCTTTTACAATTGTCCAGAAAAGCAGGATATTGATGGTATTTGAAGGAATTAGTATGGAGGGATTGGAGCGAAATGAGCATTGGCTCGGTGGGGTCATCTGAATAGCAGATTTCAATATTGTCCATGTTGTCAATTAACTTGGATAGTTTAGAGGCGTTTGACTCATTATAGGGCTGGCAGTAAAACATACAGATTGCTTGTTCTCTACTAATAGTAATCATGGTAGGAAAAATACGTTACAGAAAAAGATGGCAATAAGAAAAAAACAGTACATAAAAAAAAACAACCTAAACAAAAAATTACAGACTGCACAAACAGCCTGCACAAAATAAAGACAGACTGCACAAACAGCCTGCACAAAAAAATTACAGACTGCACAAACAGCCTGCACAAAAAATTACAGCCTGCACAAAATAAAGACAGACTGCACAAACAGCCTGCACAAACAGCCTACACAAAAAAATTACAGACTGCACAAACAGCCTACACAAAAAATTACAGACTGCACAAACAGCCT